ATCTAGAGGCAGAGCCAGCTGTACCCGTCCGCTCCGACAGTCAGCGCTGGAGGATCGGAGCGGGGAGGAATCCCTGCAGGGAGCCGTGAGTGACAGTCACGGCTCTCTGCAGGGTTAGATCGAGAAGTGAGCGAGCTAAGGTATGTGTTCCTCATCTATTGAGCCGACCTGTGACAGCTTCATTGTCACAGGTCGGCTAGAACTATGAGGCTGATGATTTTCACTCGCCTCATAGTTCTCCTTTAAAGTCCTACACCATAGAGCCATAGCTTGCATTGATGAGGGCCAAGGAGCCCAAAACAGCTGTATGCTGGAACTGAACCGAAGGGCTCAGGCGGCCGAAGGATCAGCCGAAGCTACGGCTGGATCCTTCAGCTCTGTAGTGAATGACCCCGTAGTGTTTCTGTCTGTGTTTTTCCCCATATTATATATAACAGACCTGCATACCGGCAACCGTTCAGTTTTAGAACCCGCTCGTATGTGTTGGCTCCTTTCATCTTCCGAGAGCTGCTGTGTTCATTTTCCAGAATCAGACGACATTTGAACGAGCAATTTTCTTTCAGATTTATTTTCGCAGGTAGCAAAGCCCGATGAGACGTGTGACCAGAAGCAACTAAGCCTTCTTCTGCATGAAGCCATCCAGATACCGAGGCAGCTGGGAGAAGTTGCGGCATTTGGGGGAAGCAATGTTGAACCCAGCGTTAGGAGCTGTTTCCGATTTGTAAGTAAGCACATTGCATCATTTCTATCTCCATATACACTATATGGCCAAACGTTTGTGCAGAAGTGACTATAACAGCTATATGGGCATGTTAGACATCTCATTTTAAAACCATGGGCATTAATAGAGTTGACCCCCCCCCCTTCTTTGGACAAATATCAGCCTTCACTCTTTTAAAGGATACTTTCCACAAGAGGGTGTCTGTGGGAATGTGTTCCCATTCATCCAAAAGACCATTTGTGAGGTCAGATACTGATGCTAGCCGAGAATGCCCTGGTGCGGAGAGCCGCATAGAGTGTCACAGGTTGTCAAGAAGTCTTAGCAACCTGGGAGGCTGTGGCCACCCCCCAACACCCAGGAGCCCCCTTGTTGGGAGAACCCTAATCCTATGTCATCTTTTATAATACCACCTCATGCAAAATGTTAACTATGTAATTGGCTCCCATTCCTTCCTGTCTCCTTAGTGGTCGCAATGGACGTATCAGAGTTCTTTCCTTCAAAGCTGGAATTGTGTGCTTGTGTAACAGTGATGTCAAGGGGAAACTAGAATGTAAGTAATCTACTGTAATAGTAAAGGGTTCATACAAAGGATTTTAAGAATCAAATATGAGTACATG